GTAGGGATGGGTGTGTGCATGGAAACTGTTATGTGGCTAACACTGCATACATTTGACTTTCATATAGCTTAAAAGAAGCAGCCTGTGAGTGCTTGTATTATCTAGCAGTTCAGCTGTGGCTTTTTCTCCACCTGGAGTGACTTATAGTTCCTTGAATGTATGAGTCTGTAGCACTGACTAAAGTTAGGCAAGTTGCCAACAGGCACCTCAGGTGCTTCCTGCCTTGCTAATGCAATGCAGTCGCTGCTCCCGGCGTCCAGTCACTACTGCTCTCCCCCTCTCCTGATAAGGCACTGCCACTTGCAAAGCTGCATTCTGGTTCCTCTGCAGTGAACATGTCTTCACAGTAGTTTGAATCTTTCTTACAAACATTGCTGAAAATGTTTTAGTGAAATATTAAAACAAAATGTAGGTTAGGCTCAAGCATTACATTATGCTTAGGATTCCCCCTACTGTTTGCCTGTCTGCCCACCCACCCACACAGAGAGGTCATCACAACCCAGTTTTAAAAATATAGTTGTTATAAAACCCAACCAGTGACAGCAATACAAGGTAATCCTATAAATACATAATCCATGCTAAAGTTCTCTCTCTCTCTCTGTATGTACATGGTGACGCAGTTTCTTAGGGGGTGATGCAGCAACCAGAAATTTAAAGATAAGTCTCATTCTTATTCATTGTAGGGAAGCAACATGCTTAATTGCCTTTAAAATAAAGACTAAAAATAATAGTATTTCTAAAAATATTAGAAGCCATGCATATAATGGATATACTTGTAACCAAGCTGTGACTGGTTCAGTTGCAGTGATAAACACAGGTTTATTCTGTGGGAAAGCAAATTTCTCCCTTTTAGAATTAGGATGGAGAGTTGGACTAATGCAAAAAGTTATGTGGATGCTTTATTGAACTTTTAATTTAGCTTTTAGTTTAGCTTGAATCAGGAAGTGGTAAGTTTAAGGTAGGCCAAAATAAGTCTCCTTTAAAATAATTTGGACTTCTGTAGTTCACTTTGCTATAGTTTAGCAGGTTGAAATGTTCCAAATTCTTGTACAGGCAAGGCCTAGAAAAGTTGATTTATTTCCATTTCATTCTTCGTGCTTTCTTTCGGTTAACAAATTCCAAGGCTAAAGGCAGAAGACACTGATGATAAAGCAAGGAGGCATTCAGTATGAAGAAGAAAGCTTAAAATCCCTCTGTTGGAATTTCATCTGCTTTTACAGCCTTGAAGTGCGTGGCACTGTTATTCTAGATCCTGGAACAGAAGCATTCATCTCATTAAAAGATACAAATTGCTCAAATCTTAAAGGTCCATTGAAGGAATCCAACTCGGGCAACTGACAGGATGCGACCTGTTGATGTGCTTCCTGCAAAGTGAGGAAATACTTAGAGAAGCTTTAACTGCTGATAGGAGGAGATACCTTCTGTGTGGCTGCTTTTTAAAATCTTTCTCTGCTGGCTGCCTTTCTCACTTCCCACAATTTGATTAAATTGTGATGTTCAGTACATCTAGCTAAGATTGGCTGATTTTCTCACTTCCTTGAGTAGTTCCTTCTTCTCTCACTGTTACTATATGAGCCAGTAACTTAATATTTTGCTGCCATTGTGGCTGACACCAAAAGTAGTTGCTTCATTGTATTGCCCTGAAATAACTCTGTATACAGAATAAATGCAGATTTAGCTTCCAGTGGATAGCACTTTTTCACTAGGAAAAGTCTGCCATAGCCTACTTTATTACCTGTGCTTTGGGAGTACTAAAGCAGAGGCAGTAGGGAAAAAACCCTCCTTTGCCATTGTTATCAAGCTCCTGTAAGAAAGCATAGGCAGTAAGAACACATTACCCCATCTCTTCTTTTTCCTCCCTAGTTTTTAGAAAGGAACTAGGTACTGTATGTATTTCTACAGATATCCTCAGTAAGAACTTGCAGCTTCTGCAACAGAACTGCCTCTTCTCACCCATTCATGCTGCACAGACTGAACCCTGAAAATGTTAACAGTAGTCTTGGCATATTTTTCAGTATAGACAAAACCTTTCCAGCCGAAGGTTCTTTCACTTAAAATAGATGTTGCCTGATCCCTTTACTTTGACTTCTGAATGCTTGCATCTGGAACATGGAGTTCACTCAGGTGGAGGGCCAGTTTTCCCAGCTTGCTGCCCTGAGGCTGAAAATATTTTTTGACCATGTGCTTTTGTTTGTTGCAAATAATTAATAGCACTGAATGGAAGAGGAAGGGGTTTTTGAAAAGCAATATGGTAACTGAAGTTAGGGTGATTATTACATACAGGACCAACTCCGGGGAGCTTGGAGAGGGTGTTTGGGAGACACTTCACTCATTGCCTTTCTTCTGTCTCTCTCTCTCTCTCCTAGGAAGATGTTATTAATACTCAGTGTGGCTACGATGCAAGGCAAAAACCAGTAAGCACTTTTTTTTTAATGTGGTATCTTAAGGATCTGAATCCCTCTTGCAAGAGCAGGTTATTCTACTGATGGTATAGTTGAATATAATTATGTCTGTTTTCTTTCCTCTTCTCTTTGGCAGGAAGTTGATCAGCAGATTGTTATCTACACTAAAGGCTGTGTCCCTCAGTTTGAGAAGTGGTTGCAGGACAATCTTACCATAGTTGCCGGTATATTCATTGGGATAGCATTACTGCAGGTAAACATCACGTTCCCTGTCATGAGTTACACGCAAGAACAACAGATAAATAGAATATATGAGGGGGGAACTGTATATCAGAACTGGAAATACAGTGTCAGTTGCACTTAGAAATATAACATCTGTAGGTTTTAGTGAAGGGAGCTAAATGCGTGAGGATTTCTTTGTGTTAAGGAGTATTTAATTTTTATTTGTATTGATGCTTTGTTTTTTTCCAACTGTCTTCAGGTCAAAACTAATACTCCATGTTAGACAAAGATTAGGTAGAGATTTTTAAGCCTGTAGAGACCTACTGTTTCTGATGGTGCTTAAAAGAGCAACGAAAAGCCTTTACAGTTGCTTTTGTGAAACAAGTCTAGAACTGTTCAATTTCCCGGAACCCAGTGGCACTATAAAAATACTGGGGTTACAGGAGTTTTTTGATATTCTTCCTTCTTCCAACACTTACTGTTAATTTGATTTCTAACTTTCTGCTGCTTGTTTTCATATCAAAGTTCTGTATAACTTAAGGAGTTTGCCTGTGTGAAAAGAGTTGTCCGATGCTCCAAATGAATAAACTGTTGTCTCTTCCAGATATTTGGGATATGCTTAGCCCAGAATTTGGTTAGTGACATTGAGGCTGTCAGAGCCAGCTGGTAAAACTGCTGAAGTAACCACAACAAGACACTGGACAACTGAAACCCTCTGAAACCTCCAGTGTGTCGCTCCGACACCAAGCTGTATGGACATGGGTGACAGGGAAGCCTTCTCTCCCAAGTAGTCTCAAGTCTAAGTTCCTGATGTTGCAGTGAACTCATGTTTCTTTGGGGTGGGGGAGAGAAGAGTGGGCTATTTAAAATCTGCTGCTCACTGACAATTTTTTTTTTTCTCTTAAACCACCATTTTGAAAGCTGTTGAGCCGTGAATCTCTACTGTATTCTTGATCCTGAGTAATAAGTGGACACTTCTTAAAAATTGGTGTATTCAGTGGGACGAGTTGCATCGTTACAGTCTGTGGATATGCTGTTTATTCTTCGTGTCATGAGCTCTTCCATAGCTGCCAAATATTCCTCAGATGGTCTCTCTCCTCAACACTCTGTAAAGGAACAATCTTCTTGTTTTCACAGCTAAACATAGCTACAGGCCTAAACCCATCAAGCAGGAAGCAACTTTCTATGCATCTATTGTACAGTAAAAGAAATTGTTTTTAAAACAAGGGAAAATTTTTTTTTACGCAAGCTTCCAGCCATCTCCCTGTAGTACTTTGAGGTTGGAATCAGCAAGCTCACAGGGAGAATTGCCTAATTTTATCAACGTATTTCTTCCTTCTCCACCTTTGTATGAAGGGAAAGGAGTTTTATCTTTGATAAACAAGGGTTGTAAAGCCTTTGGTTGCTGCCATACCTTAGGACATCAGTCTCTTAAGGCAAGGATGGGATATAACTGTATAAATGTATGAAAGCAGTGTGGATGTTGGGTCCAAGTGAATAATATTATTCAAAGAATGAATTATATATTAACTTAAAAAAATCAAAACATGTGTATCTGATATGGCTAAATCTTCTGTTTCATTGGAATTTAGTGTAACCTAATGTATTTAGGGATCTCACCAATATTAGTGCTTTGATATACTTGTGCAAAACTTCTTTTAAGATAATTCCTTGGTCTGTTCCTAGCTGAGGCTTTGGTCTTTCTTTTTTTCTTTTTTCTTTAATTCTTTTTACTTGCATGAGCTGTGGAGTAAGAATCTGTGACACTCCAGTGCTTTAAATCTGTGCATATGTTTTAGTACAGTCTAATCCAAACTTATTTATTGGTAAATGCATGTGATTATGGAAGGTCACATCCCATTCCCTTGGAAGTTGGAGAGAACTTTTGCCAGAGTAAATGCTTACCTCCAGTGAACAAATCCTTGCTATGGAGATGCATCTCCCTTTGTTGCTCTAAATGCAACAAAGAGCTTTCTCGAAGCAATGGAATAAAAGTTTTAAAATAGAAGCGTGTATTAGGATCAGCCAAGACAGACTCTTTTGAATTGGACAAAAGAGAGTAGAATTTGGAATAAAGCACAAATAGCAGAAGAAGAATTAGATCAGACTCCATCCAGCTTAGAGGTTTTGATTTGTTCTTCTTCACTAATAATAATGAACTTACAAACCTGACTATGGCTTGGGTAGTTTTATTGCACTTTGTATAAATTTAACTTGTTGTATGACCCTTCTCAGTATCTGCAGAACCAGTCCTGAAAGCTGTGAGCTCTCGGCTCCTGCTTTGATCAGATACTGGCAAAGGGTGTGTAGCACCTCCTTGTAAGAGCTTAGCATCTTTCTGAGATGAGTTTCCTAAAATGAAGTATGTGGAGTAGAAGAGATGAATGCATTGCTTTCAAAGCTTCCCTGTTCTGGGGGATGGATAGAAGGCTGGTCTGATGACCTATTAAGGTCCTTTCTGGTCCTATGACTCTTAAACGTGTGAGTGTATGTACCCTTGCACATTTTGCCTTTCTGTGCTTTAGTCGGCTGTGGTTTTTTTCCCCTCTGAAGGCTGGTGGTAGGCACACCGGCACTCCACAGATGCCTCAGACAGTCCTGTTGTCCTCCTGTCTTTGAGCGTTACCTCATCCTCTTCTGGTTAACTCCCACTGACTGGCTCTGAATCAGGCAGCTTACATATCCTTTGGTATCTGCTGTTAAAGGCCAGCCATGACTCAGAGTAGTTTGTTTTTTTTTCCAAGCCTTTGAAAGCAATTATAATTCACTGTCCTTAATAAAGTTGGTTCCACCTCACCACAGTGTTATGTTTTTCTTAGCCACTCCTCAGCTTGAGGAGTTACTGGTGTTTGTTCCCCCCCCGAAGGGACACACCGTTTTGCCTGATAGCAGCAGGACAGACGAATCATCAGCACCAGTGTTGCTGCACTGAGACAAAATGGTGCGGAGAGAAATCAGGGAAGTGCGGTTGAGGAAGTAACGCCTCCACCCAAGAGCCTTGATTGTGACCCAGCACTTTGGTTTGGAGAAAAAGGAAAAAAGCCTGCATTACAGAAACATTCCTTATTGCCACTGATCTTGAATACTGCTGTTGCTGCTGTGGGCTTCTGAAGACAACTTCATTCTTCTACTTGAATTTCTGCAGTTGTACTGTATTGGCCTTCTGTCTTGTCCCGCTGTTCTCTGAGTTCCAGTCTGCTGGACGTGCTATTGGCAGTGTCAGACTGATAGGAAGGTAAACGCTCTGGGGTGAGCAAATCTTGTTCTCACTACTTGCACGTGTACAAATGTGCAACACTTCTGCTGAGTCCCGGAATGACTGACTGTTCTTATAAAAACCACTAAATAACTTATTTTTCTAGAGTTTGTCTTTATTGCTGCAGGTGCTGATCCTCCCCGCTTCCCCGCTCCCAAGAGATGCTCTTACTTTCCTCATTTTTGCAGTTGTTTGATGGTTGCATACTGAATGTTTAGGATTAGCTGTCTATATTGCACATTTAAATCCCACATTTTTTGTCTACAGATCGGGTAAGATGTCTTAGAAATGCCCCAGCATCAGCTACTCAGCAGCTTAGGTGTCCAGTTTGGAAAGCTTGTGGGAGGCCTTGGAAATCAATCCATTGTTGTCAGAGCCTGCCAAATGCAAGCAAGCTTTCTTCCAGAAAACTTTGTGAAAACTTCAGGTGAGCTGCAACTAAGCACAACTGCTGGCTACATGGGCTCATTTTCTAAAGCAATAAGATATGGTAGGTGGTATGACTTCTTGGCAATTTCTAGCCTGCCTGGTGTGGTGGTGGGGTAGAAGTGAGTTCAGAGGTCAGTCTAATTATCTTTAATGTGCAGTAGTTGTTCAGAAATGTGTTGTCAGGCTTATGGCCCTTGTGGAGTGTGAAGCACCTCTTCTTCCTGGGTGATTCATATGGGATGGTGGCATTCTAACGAGAGATCTGGTAGCTTCAGCAGTAGCCCTGGCTTTAAAGCCATTTCCAAATTCCCCACTGAGCCCTGCAAAAGGGCATCACAGTCCTTGCTCCTCTGCTTTCTAAATACTCTCCATATTCACAGGCCTTTCTGTTGTTTGATTGCTCTCTTTTATTTTTTTTTTTTAGTTAATAGCCTAATGGACAAATGTTTCATTTGTCTCTGTGTATCTGTTTCAGTAGCAGTAGGATCTCTTTGCTTCAAAATCTGTAATTTTGATTGTGCCCCTTAGAGTTTGAAGCTGTGGAGATGCTTGCTCAAGTTACTCTGTCCTGAAAGCTGCCTTCTCTCCCCTTTGAGAGAGATGCTAACTGTAGTTCTGGTGTGTAAATAGTGTTTGAAGTGTAAATAGTAGCATGCCGATTAAACGATTCTTGCACATGACTGCTTTTCACCCTAAAAGTGTTTATGATAGGTATGAAAGGTGTCCACCGTGAGAGTTTGCTGATGAAAACTGAGTGGTCGTTCAGGCTTTACCTGGCCCGGAGGTGAGACGGGAGCTCTTTAATCGCCTGCCCTCTAGTGTCTACCCAGCGGGCGTGCAGCAGGCACCGGAGGGAGGGAAGACCCTGGCCAGCCATGTGGGCTCTGGTCAGTAGCAGCACCTCCCTTGCCTTCTGCCTTTGCTACTTGGCATTAGAACAGCATTCGACTGTAAAATGGAGGGTCAGAGTCAGCACCCCTACCAGTTATGGGAGGTTGCCATCACTTGCGGCAGGACTAAACATGGTGCTATAAGAACTGTCCTGGATGTTAATCTGTGTTTTTACCACTTTAGAGATGCCCTTGGTAAAATTGATTCTGATTAACAATGTTGCTTACAAGAGAAACTCTCGTGTAAATTTTTGATTCTGTTTCCCTTCTTGCTGAGTGTGCCTTCTGGGTGCATTGAAATGGCAGTTCTGCAAACACCTAGGAAGGAGATTAGATCTCAACAGGTGTCAAGCACTGTTGAAGGTTCCAGTTCCTCCCTCCCATTTTTGTTTCCTCTCTGAAACTTTTTCAGATACCTGTAATTGGTCATGAAACTGTCTAAAGCAAACAAACTAAAACTACCCTGTTGGATCCATTAGCTACCAAATTTTGCCACTTGAAGAAAAGAAAAGGAAAAAAAAAATGTCTCCCTTAACATGCAGTATAAAAATAAGTGTTATGACTACTAGTGTGCACCAGGCAGCACTGCTAGCTGTCTTTTGTGTTTCGGCAATATAAATGTGTTAATAAAAAGCTCCATCTGTATGTGTGTTCATGTTCACGCTGTGTACGTAGTAGAGATGGACCTGATACTACCTTGAGCTCTGGGGAGACTGGGGTTTGGGTTTTGTGACTCAGACCCGTCTTTGATACATATATTCCAGATTGGTTCCAACTGAATCTCTCTCTCTGGTTCATCCTGGGGTGTACGGCAAGGTGTCGATATTTACCCTTTGTGTATCATTCCTTTTTATACGAATGTGTTATCTTGTGTTCCTTTTTTTATCAGTTGTAAAATTGATTGTAAAAGCCAGCTACACTTACCGATTGAAAGTATCGCTATAACAGAACTGCATGCCCAGTAGAGTTTGACTTGAGTTTTAGTTTTCTGATTTCAGACTGGTTACCTTCAGTCTAGGAGAAAAGCATAGATCAGGTGCATAATGTGTTACTTGTCACCTTTAGCATTAGACTGTGGTATTGTATCACATGCTGATCTCAATGGATGTAACTGGAGTCTACTTAGGAAGTTAATGTGACTTCCTGGTAATTCATTTTAAGCTATTGAAAGTGGTCTTGATCATGCTACTTGTGTTCTTGGGTTTTTGTTTTTTTAATAGAGGCATTTTTTAGGAATGTTTTAATACACTTATGATGGACAATACAATAGTTTTAATAGTTGTGCAGTATTCTGTATTTACTTGAAGTAAATCATTTTATATGCAATTTGTTAGATAATTACAATTTTATAAATAAAATTGCGTGAAATATGATGTTGTGAATGTGTACTCTTGATGTAGCACTTAACAGTAACAGTACAAAGTTACGTTCATGCAAAATTCCTCCAGGAGAAGACCCCCTGCCTGCCCTCCCCCAAACTTACAGGGGAGATAAATCCCCAAGTCTCTCAT